TACAGGCCCATCCAAGTTGCTTTTCTATATGAATGGCTGGTCTTGGCTCATGCTTCACAACTTCCTAAATCCTATCAAACAAACAATAGCTGCCCTCAGTTAGCTCCAGGCTGGTCACTAGAAGCAGCCAATTTAGATTCACAGCTTGGCTTTGCCTGGGAACCTCAAAGCCCAGCACAAGTAGCAGCCACCTCAGACTTCATTATAGCTCAGGAAGGGTGGCCCGAGGCAAAACAAAGGTGGGGGCCGACCTTGGCCTGAACCACCCAGGAAACCCCAGAGCCAGTGCACCCAGTGGACAGCTACCGACCACACTGGAGCACTGCTACCCTGCTACTGCACAGCTGTTCCTCCACAGAGGGCAGAGGTTGGTGGTAAGCGGTCACAGACAATCCTTATAGCTGATTGGCCTAGGTAAGCCATCCTATTGCTCTGCAAACAGCAACCAGGGCTCAACTACAAGAGGAGCGTGTACTCAGCCCAAACCAAGGGTACATCTTGAATACCCAGCTTGGGTGATAGGGAAGGCTGTGCCACTGGACCCTAAAGCACACCTACTACATTAGGGCACACTAACACGGAGTCAAAGCAGCTCTACCTAATAACATGGAAACACACAGGGAGGCTGCCAAAACAAGGAGACAAAGAAACATGGTCCAAATGAAAGAATAGATCCAAACTCCAGAAAAAGAACTAAACAAAGTGGAGGTAGGCCATCTATCAGATGCAGAGTTCAAAACACTGGTTATAAGGATGCTCAAGGAACTTAGTGAGGACCTCAGCAGCATAGAAAAGATACAGGCAGAAATGAAGGATTCACTAATTGAAATGGAGAACAATTTACAGGGAAACAACGGTAAAGTGGATGTAGCCGAGAATCAAATCAATGATTTGCAACATAAGAAAGCAAAAAACCACCATTCAGAACAACAAGAAAAAAGAATCCAAAGAAAGGAGGGTAGGAGACGCAGCCTCTGGGACAACTTCAACAGGTCCAACATTCACATCATAGGGGTGCCAGAAGGAGAAGAGAAAGGGCAAGAAATTGGAAATCTATTTGAAAAAAAACGAAAGAAAAATTCCCTAATTTGGTGAAGGAAATAGACAAACAGATCCAGGAAGCACAGAGAATCCCAATCAGTTGGACCCAAAGAGGACCACATCAAGACACAACATAATTAAAATGCCAAGGGTTAAAGATAAAGAGAGAATCTTAGAAGCACCAAGAGAAAAGCAAAGAGTTACCTACAAAGGAGTTCCCATAAGAATGTCAACTGATTTCTCAAAAGAAATTTGCAGGCAAGAAGGGTCTGGTAAGCAGTACTTAAAGTGATGAAAAGCAAGGACCTACAACAAAGATTACTCTACCCAGCAAAGCTATCATCTAGAATGGAAGGGCAGATAAAAGGCTTTCCAGATAAAGTTAAAGGAATTCATCATCACCAAGCCATTATTATATGAAATGTTAAAGGGACTTATTTAAGAAAAAGATCAAAACTATGAACATTAAAATAACAACACACTCATAACTATCAACAACTAAATTGAAAAACTAGAACAAAAACAAACTAAGCAAACAACCAGAAGAGGAACAGAATTATAGGTATGGAGATCATTTGGAGGGATATCAGCTGGGAGGAAGAAGGGGGAGAAAGTGGAAAACAGTGCAGGGATCAAAAAGCATAATTGGTAGGAATAAAATAGACAGGGGGATGTTAAGAATAGCATAGGAAAGGGAGAAGTCAAAGAACTTACACGTATGGACATGAATTAAGGACAGGGAATTGCTGGAGGGAAGGGGGGGTTACTAGGTGGAGGGGGACAAATTGAAAAAAATTGGGACAACTCTAACAGCATAATCAATAAAATGTACTTAAAAAATACGGTAACACAACTATACAGTAACACAACTATACCATTAGCTAACTTAATTAATAAAAATTGCCCTAAGTGCACCAAATTGAATAATTACGAATGAGAAAGGAAAAGTAAACATAAAGACAAGAGAAATGTAGTGAGTTAAGAGATAATTTGCTTACCCCTAATAAATTTGAAAGCAAATTGACATGTGAAATGACCAGTATGTTTTCAATGCATGATCTCTCTCTCTCTCTCTCTCTCTCTCACACACACACACACACACACACATACATAAACACAAGGTGTATATATTTCAAAAGTTAATTTAAAGAAAATTTCTCAAAATTAAATATGAACACATTCCTTTTAAAATCACAAACAAGATAAGCATGCTTGCTATCACCACTTCTAGTCAACATGGTACTGGACATTTGAGCAAAGACAGAAAAACAAGAGAAAAGAAAAAATATAAAATTGCAAAAGGAAAAGTTAGATTTTTATTTGCCAGTAATATCAGTGTCTACTGAGTAACACCTACCATCTGCAAATAAGTTATGTAAATTAATAAAGTAATTTAGGTAGGTTACTGAATACAAAATCAATATGTAAGTCAATTGTGTTTCTATGCATAATCAGCAATCAGAAAATAATTTTTAAAATATTGAACAATATTAATTAATTTCCAATAGGAATGCTATTTATTTTTAAAAAGAATTTGAAATGGAAAGCAGATACCCAAGAACAGCAAAGACACCTCTGAAAATCAAGACAGGAGGACTTACCCTAATAGGTATCAAGATTAATTACAAAGGTGCAGTTATTAAAGGCAAGTGGTATCAGCACAGGAATAGACAGACTAATGAAACTGAAAAGGGAGCAAAGAAATAAACCCATATCTATATCTCTACACTTGACTTATGATAGCTGTCTTTATTTACATCAGTGAGGGAAAGGTCCAATACATGAACCTGGTTATTGTCACAGAAAAAAAATGAAATTGGTTTTCTTCCTAAGACTATACACAAAAATCAATCAATGTCAGAATAAAGTTTTAAGTATAAAAAGCAAAACTATAGATCTTTCAGAAGGAAATTCTCTATGACTTTAGGGTAGAGAAGGCTCTATTAGAAACAATCCCAAAGCACTTAAACAAAAGGATCAAGACAAGATTAAAATACAATCATGAATCAAGACTTTGGAAGCTGCGTGATTGTACATGCAGATTCATTATTCTTTTATATTTTGTCTATGTCTTATATGGTTTTTAAAAAGAGACACTGTAAGAGTGACAAAAATAGCCCCAAAACTGAGCTATTTGCCACTTACATAACTAAAAAATGTTTAGTATTCAAATATATGTTAAAAGTATGACAAATAATCCATTAAAAATACATTTCACAAAAAACTAATACATATTTGAAAAGATTTAATTTCTCTAACCAGAGAAAAGAAAAATTGCAATAAGATACTACTTCAACATCCTACAAACACACAAAAATTAAATTTTCTGATGATATTGAGTGTTGGCAAGTATGTGGAGCAACAGGAACTCAAATGCTGCTGGTAAAAGCTGCCAGTAAAAACAGACTGCCTTTATACCTGGCATCATATTATAAAATTGAACAGCCCTATGTCATACATTCCAGGAATTCTATTCCTTGCACAACAGCACCCACAGCATATAAGAATATGGAGCAGCCAAACCTGGTGTTTCTAGAATTACACAAATGTCCACTGAACAGAATGGAAGAACATATATTTTCACACTTGAGCAAATATCAACATCAAACATCAATATGGATGAATCTCAAAATACACCATTAATTGAAAAAAGCAAGTAAAATAAATACAAATTGTATGAAAATTTCTACAAAGATCAACAGTATGCAAAGTTACACAACTGAATCAGAAAGTAGCACACAGGGAGCTAGCTGCTTGGCCATGGAAATATTCTATTTCTTACACTGAAGAATGTGTTCACAAATGTTGGCTTTGCTTCACAATTTACATGTGTTGTATAATTTTTTGTTACCGAATACCTCATTCTTAAGTTTTTAGTACAAGTGAAAAGGGTTGTTGAATGTATACAAAACAAAATTTTAAAGTTATTACCTTGGGGTTTGGATAATGTGGGACTTTCACTTTCCATTTTATTCATTTCTGGACCATTTAAAATTTTTATAATTAACAAATAATATGCTTGAGAAGATTCAGGGGTGTCCAACCTGCAGCCCTCGGGCCGCACACAGGCCCAGGATGGCTGTGAATGAGGCCCAACACAAAATCGTAAATATACTTAAACCATTGCGATTTTTTTGTGATTATGTGTTGCAATGTAGTGAATGTGTGGCTCGAAACAACTGCTCATCTGCCAGTGTGGTGCAGAGACGCCAAAAGGTTGGGCACCCCTGTCACATAAAGGAAAACAAACTGCATAGAAATCTGGGACCCACTACAATGAGGAGCAGTTACCTTGTTTTCAGTTTACACAAGACAATTTCTCCCAGATGTCCTAAATTAAAACTATGCTTAGCATACTGTCGGTTAAGTCTGTAATAAATTGATAAAAATTTTCCAACAGCAAAGGGTTTAAAAATATTGGCTTTTTACTAAACGCATCCATACTTCTCTTTATTAACAATTCCTAAAGTCATTTAATTTTTACTACACTTATTTGCTTTTGGCCACTTATGCACTTTTCCTTTTTTTAATACTGTAAATGGCAAAAATCCTTTTTTTAATGTAAATAAATAAGTACTCGACCGAGTTCTATTCCCAAAGGCCTATTCCTTTTTGTTGTTTTGTTTTATCCACGAATATCAAAATGTAGTGCGTTCTGCAAGTTCCCACACAACCCAAAACGTTCGCTGCCCTTCCTGGTCAGAGCAGTGGCCGGAAGGAAGCAGGTATCCCGGTTGAAAGGGCTTTGGGGATCTTCTAATTCTACTCCCACCCCTGAGGTCCCGGGCTGTACCGGACCTGCCCAAGCCAAGACGCGGTGGCCGAGGTGAAAAACAGAGAAGCTGAGACCCCACGCACGCTTAAAGGCCAGGGATACACGCAGTCTCCCCCGCGGGAGGCCTTTCTTGCGGCGCTGGGGACTCCGCCCGCAACCTTGACTCCTCGGCATGGTCCCTTACTTGCCGCTCTCCAAGCTGCGGCCGGAGCGCGACCAAGACACCCGGCGAGCCCGGACACAACCATGGCGCCCAGTCCTGCAGCGTCCTCACTGGCCCGTCCTGGAGAAGGAGCCCGCAGTGTGGCGCGGCCCGCTCTACAGGAGGGGCGGGGCTCTCGTGAGGTGGAGCCTGCGCCTTGCCCGAGGGGCGGGACCCATGTGGGAGGGGCGGGACCTCCGTGAGAGGGGCGGGGCCTCCGTAGCCGGCGCTGGGAATCCGTGCTCTTGGACCAGGCTGTTTGTAGGCAAAGAGCAGGAAGCAGCTCGGTCTTGTCACGAACGACCTAAATTACCCTGAAGCTCGTGTTAATTAAACTAAACCCCTAAATCATGGCTAGAGTTGGATGAGGGAATAATTTCTTTTATTGCTCTAAAATCTGAGACAAAATGTCTCTTGGAAGATCTCTTATAGCAAAGATGAGTATCTTTTACTCTTTTGTCTGTATGATAGGCTTCTTTTCCCTCACTTCTCTTTTACTTTTTAAAATCTCCACTTTTTCGTTGAACTCCTGACTGAGCCACTGACCAGATGACCTTCTGAAGGATGAGTTTTGAGTGAAGTGGAGGGCAAGACAAGGCTTTCCATCTGGTCCGGACTGCTGTGAATGGCGTTCTGCCGATCGGACCCTTCAATTCCAAGAGCTCCAGTTTGTTGGGAACCTAAGCGGCAGATCAGGAGACTTTATGTAACCTGTGGAAGCTTTTACAGAATCACAGTGGAGGTCCCCGTAATTTATTTTTAGAAAATTTCTTGGCTAGCTATTGGGCCCTTGTTACACCTGACCATATGACATCAGGTGGCTCTGCAATGAGTTTGTCATCATGAGCTAGGAGGTATCTGGTCCTTCTAGATAAGGAATTCTTTCACTAAGAGGAAGTGATATACACAGAACAGGGCCAAAGCCAAAAAGCCAACCGATTTTCATTAGCAGGAAGCTCATATACACACTTTTGACCCTTAACTCACATCTACACCCTAACGATGAATTCCTTGTGATCAGTTAGCTGAGGAAAAAATTCAAAGCTAAATTACATATGGCTTCGCTCAATATACTAACCCAGCTGGCAAGGGACTGCTTTGGCATTTAGAGCCCCATTTAACAGAGGCCCTCAAGAACAGCAGTGAGGAAAAAAAAAAAATCCTTCCAGAAGGCAGTGTCTGATGTGTAGTGTATAGCTAGAAATAGTCCTGTTAGGATTTGTATGGCTAAATATACTCCTAGGAGAGCTAAAGTTTCATCATGAGGATAGGCAGAACCTGATCTTGTGCACATTGCCTGGGAGGAGATATGAGTTGAGATAAAGATCTACATCATTTCATGTGCATTGGTTTAGTCAAATGGTCAGGGACCGGGAACAGGAAGGCTTTGGAATACTTCTGTGGAATAGGACCTCTCAAAATGGCCCCAAAGTGTAAGAATATTTGGGTCCAGTTGAATGCTCAGAAGAGGCTCTCATTGTTAAAGGGCTCTTAATCAGAACAAGTCCGCTCTATTGCTCCCTAACATACCAAAATTTTGTGGCTTAAAACAACATTTATTCTCTCCCAGTTTTTGTGCATCAGGAATCCAGGAGCCAGAATGCCTCTGGCTCTAGGTCTTAAATGAGGTTACAGTCAACCTGTTAGCTGGGGTTCCAGTCTCATGGAAGCATGACTAGGGGAGGATCTATTTCCAGGCTCACTCACATGATTATTGGCCAGATTTTTTAGTTGGATTACAGGCTTCCCTCAGTTCCTTGCTATGTGGGCATCTCACAACACAGCAGCTGTTTTTCCGCAGAATGAACCAGAGAAAAGGGGCGATTGGTCAAGATGGAAGACAGTCTTTGAAGTTTAATCCCAGAAGTGACATCTATCACTACTGCTGTATTCTGCTACTAGAGGTAAATCAGACCCAGCCCTGACCGTTGTGGCTCAGTGGGTTGGGTGTCATCCTGCCAACTAAAAGGCCACTGGGTCGATTCCAGGTTGGAGCACATGCCTGGGTTGCAGGCCAGATCTGCTGGTGGGGGTATGTGAGAGGCAACAGATTGATGTTTCCCTTGGACATTGATGTTTCCCTTCCTTCTTTCTCCCTCCTTTCCCCTGTCTCTAAAGGATAAATAAAATCTTAAAAAAAAATTCAGTCAGATCCAGACAACTCTTAAAGGGAGGGGATTACACAAGGGATGAATACACAGGTAGGTGGGGGTCACTGAGGGCCATTTGAGAGACTGCCTACAAGGACCCACTCTGTAGACATCAGATTCTTTCTCTCACACCTCTTTGCTCAGTTGGTCACTAACACTGTACCCATCGTGAGATGGAGACATGCCTTTATTTTTAACATAGTATTTTCCTCTGCCAAGACTGGTTGATTAGCACTATTACTTATAGCCTGAGTGGCAGGCTTGATTACAGTGGGATCCTACTATAATGAAGTAGCAACTTGTTCTATAGTAATAGACAAGTATTCTGGGTTTGGATTGTTTTCCCTGACTTACGCTTCTTTTACATACTCCATTTGTGATTACTGAATATCTTGTATACCATACACATTATATAGCACCCCATACCACACTGCTTCTTACCAAAGAACTCACTTTCCTGTGAAAGACATAAAGCAGGGTACTGATGCCGGTGGGATTAACCAGTCTTATCACATATCCCACCAGACCAAAAGCAAGCGGTCTTATGAAATAATGGACGGTCCTACGGAAGGTTTACTTTTGGAAGCCGATGAAAAAACACATTTTGGGATGCTGTCCTAAAGCATCTATCATATGCTCCAAATAAGTTAGAAGTATTCAGTGATTCTCTCTCCTGTGGACAGAACAACAGGGTCCAGAGAAGCAGAGGGATCGACACCTTGCTACATCTGACACACTGCCCATTTGTTTTGCTTTCCATTGTGGGGAGAAACAAGTTGCCATTAGTCCTGAGTGTCCCTGCATACTATTGCTGAGTATGCCAACTGCAAGGTTTATGCATCTCCTGATAATAAGCATTTCTGTAGCTGGTCATTGGCATCTAAGTAGGTCAAAGCAACATCACTGCTACCATTTAACTGTTTCTTCCCTTGGGAAGAAACAACAAAGACGACACTGGCTTCTTTGTTGCTTGCTCAAACACTGCTTGGTCCTCAGCCCTGGATTTTTCTCCTCTAATGCAACTATGTGTACAGGTGTCATCTGGCCCTCTGCATCAGAGGGTATTGGGGTTCCAGGAACTGGTGCAAATATGCTGAAACTTGGCTACTATTTTGCTGTGATAAAGTTTTTGTCTCCTACTCAGGAGTCTCCTGTCAGCACCCATGAAACCGTGGCAAGCCAGCTAGCAAGTAGGATGGAATCTCAGATCCTTCACTAATCTTGCCATCCATCACCATGATTCCAGATTCTGTTGGTGTGCCAATTTTTTTTTGCATCGAGTGAGGTAAAAGGGGTGTTTTCTCTGAATTGAAAGTTGGGATTGCCACCTGGTCATTTTTAGTTCATTTCTCTGGGTAAGAGATTAGAAAAAGTGTTGATGGTGCTAGTTGGGGCAACTGGCCCTGATAACCATTTGGGGAAAGGGAACAGGGAGAGGAGTCTGACTAGAACTCAGGAATCTCATCTCTTGGAACACCTCCTACCAGTACCATGTTGAATTATGAAAATTAAGCAGACTGTTGCAAACATATATAGGTAAAACCACCCAAGCTACAAATTTTTGGCTCACACACTAGGTAAAGAAATCTGGTCAGCTGAGGTGCTGGTTGAAAACAAAGAAAATAAAATGGCAGTGGTGACAAGTAATAATCGTCTAGCTTAATCACCGGTGGTGAAGGAAGGACTGTATTTACAAAATCATTTTTTAAAGAGAGAACTTTGGGACATAAAACATGCTGTTATCTGTATCCTATCCTGGAGACTTAGTTGGTCTGTAATAGGGCCCTGGAGTTTTTATTTCTATGAGTTACCTAAGTAATTCTCACCAAGAAAGCTTGCAAAATACTGCTCTAGTTCATTTTCTTCCTTGTTGGCTCATGTATGTTTATAAATATTTTCTCTTTCCTTTCTTACACTATTAGTGTATATACTGGTGGTAAGGTTATAATTTTACTTATGGGATGCAAACTATTGAAACAAGATTGTAGAACCAGAGAAAAAATGGACATCACGGAGATCCTGGACTTGAAAATGGCAGAGGGACAATAGTAGTGTCAGGAGGAAGCATTTTAAATGCATAAATGTGAGAAGAATGGTGTATGTGGATGTTGGAAAGACAAAGAGACAGATTACGGTATACCTGTGATAGGTTTTTATATTTGGTGCTTAGTCATCAAACCCCTTTAATCTTGGTAAACCCATTTGGTAAGCCTTGGTACGAGAAATGGTCCCATTTTCTACTGTGGAAGTTGAGGTCATATATACTCGCTCTCTTTCATGTCTGACGACAGCCTGAGTGAGGACACAAGACTGAGCCTGGATACTTGGACATTCCCACCAGACTTTGAATCAGGAGTGAATGATGCAAATAAGCAATATGTTTGGAATCCAGTTTTCAGAGGCCTCAAGGCCAGGAGAAATATACACAAACTTCCAGCTCTTTCTGAGGTTGGGACTTGGCTATATGATTTTGGTCATCTCACTTCCTTTGGTTTCTACTGTTTTCCAAAGCTGGTTCTCCAGCCTTTCTATCAATGCTAAGAGCTGCCTAATATTCTTCCACTGAATAATTTTTCTTCTTAAATTTATCTTTTTTTTGTTTTGTTTTCAACCAAGATCTTTATTGGTATATGCATCAACATGATTCATTCTCTAGGAGTCACTTACTCTGTTTCAGATAATCATTTCCCCAGCCCACCCCCGCAATCTGTATTTGGAAGTAAATAGCATATGCTAGTTTCCCGGGTAAACCAGAAATAAAGTTTGTTAGGTTTTAAACCTTGATCATAGATATGCTTTTAAAACTGTATTAGAACAACCAATCAACCAACTATGATCATAAGAGCAGTTTACCTTTAAATACAATTATATGCTTATGAGTAAGAATAAATCCTTTGATAAACCTGGAAGAGATTATTCAAACTTAGAATAAACATATTTTAAAATCAGGGTCAAGGTATGTGAAGACGAAAAATGTGTGTGGCAAAAACACATGGTATATAATGCATATATTTACATTTTCCAGTTATAAAGAACTTGGTATATTATTGCTTAGTCTTTTCATTAAGTTTTCAAGTATTTTAAAAAGTAAAGATTTATGGAGAGCAATCAAAATACTTTTAACTACCTAATATATGCAAATATGTAAATTATAAAAATACTTTACAAAGGCTTTAAGTTATACAATCATGCTGGTCTATAATATAGTCTATTCAATTATAAATAAAAACATACCTCTAGTGTTCTGAAAATAAGCAAGTATTTTAGCTGCTCCTCTAGATAGTCATTTGTTCATTTATTATCACCAGAGGCAATAACACAATGCTAAAAATAAACATGCATCAATTATACAATACATACTTACAAAAACCTTGTGTCCAATCACAACTGGTGAATGCAAACAGACCTATTCACCCTTAGTGCATTATGATTTTCACAAGTAAAACAGTAAAGGAAAATAAGAGAATTTAATGCTATTCAGCACCTTTAAAGTCAAATGACTTAACAACTCCATGTATTAAAAACATTTGCATCTGTATCACCAAACATGTAAAGTTAATTTTTTGTTCCATTTTTAACATGAATTATTTTATTTACATTACTGTTTAGTTCAACAAATTTTAACAATATTTAAAAATTATCTAAATTCATAAAAGTATTTCATAAATTTCAACATTTAATTACTATGTACATACAAGGAAGTTCATGAAAAAAAGTTAAAGAAATGTAGTCAGAAAGTTCAAGCAACATTACCAAATTTAACAAAATTCCAACTAAATCAAGGCAGAGGGCATTCAAACATTCAAAAATCTCTAGATGCTGCTGACATGAACATGAAAAATTCCAGTAATAAAAGTCAATGTGAGAAACAATGTTGAAATCACCAGTAGAAAATATATTTTAATAGGCATGACATATGTTGAAATGCAATAATAATAATAATGACTTTTTATAGAAAACTTTTATAACATTGTCATATATGAGCTATCTCATTTGGCAGGGCTCAAGAGTTGATTTCAAAAAATATATTTTAGCAGCCACAATTTTATTTCCAGTTAAAACATAGTAAAATGTTAAAAGTAAAAGTTATAATTAACTAAATATACCCCAATACTAGAAAATTTAAAGTCCCATGCTATTCTAGCAATAATGGCCTCTAGTACGATGTGTCTGATATAAGGATGGTGGAAAGCCAATAATAAAGAATGAGACGTACAATGGGCTTAAAATTTCATGGAAATACTTATGTAGCAAAATATATGAAAAAGTAATAGAAAAGTAAAAAGATAAAATTAAAAAAATATTGCACAGCCACATTACCTAGAAAGTAAAGTTATGTTTAAAAAGCTCTAAACATGGATGATATAAATTATCTTCCATATAAAAAGGTATAAATATTTTTTAGAACTTATCAGCATCTATAATTTAATATAATACATTATTTGAATCACTGTTGAATGAGGTAATTGTCAAGTCTCTTAATGTTTTTATCTTATTGAAAATATTTGAGGGCAGCAACCAGAAAGAATTTCTCTAAAAATATTTCTGAATCAAGAACAGCTATATGTGCAGCTCTCCCAATGAGTGAATCAGCTGTATTGGGCAATGCATTGATGACATTATAGCGAACCAAATTACAGTCCTTGCTTTGTAGAACCGGGCGAAGCAAATTGTGGATCATTTCTGAATAGATCTGTCCTATGGAAGAAGAGAAAAAATAAAATTAGCTCACATAATTAACAGAAAAAATTCTATGCCAGTTTGTATAGAATTTATACAATTTAGTTACATTATTTCCATTTAAAGTAGAAAAAGTTGTCGGTGCCTGTGTCATATAAGGAAATGTTAAAAATAATGCCCCTATTTTTTTACTACAAAATATTTTATTACAAAATCATGTGTGTAATTCTATAACACAACAATATCACACTCAAGCATACCACATGACATTTTAGGTGAAATGTTCAAATTAAAACTATAAATTATTACACCCATATTATTACCCTACCAACTACACTCAAGTAGGTGTTCTTCTGCAGGACCCTGTATGTGTGTGTGTGTGTGTGTACGCGTGTTTTTGCTTAATCCCTTTGTCTTTTTTCACCTAGTCTCCTAACCCCTGTCCCTTTGACAGCTGTCTGTTGTATTTACCTGTTTCTATTTCTAT